GGGTGCACGGTGTGCGACAAACACAAGTGCATGCGTGTGAAAGTGTGTGTGTGCATATGTGTGTGTGCACGCATGTGTGTATTTGTGGGCGCGTGGGGGGAGGAGAATCGTGGGCGATGAGCAGCAAGGGCCGCATACAAGCTGGCGGCGTGGCAACGCGCAGCGCGCGTTGGGCGACGCGGTTGCGAGCATCCCAAACCCACTCAGAGCATGCATGTCGCACCCGCCGGCCAGACCTTGGCCCCTCCATACAGACCCCGTGGGCGCACGCCAGCCCGGCCAGGCACGCCGGGGCGGAGGAGGCAGACAGCCGCGACAGCGTGCGCCGCCCCCAACGCCTGGCCTCCACTGCCGGCCGTTGCCCCCGCACACCTGCACTGCGGGGAGGTACCCCACGCCCGCCAGCAGGTCCAGGGAGCCGGTGCCGTTCTCAGCCTTGGGCAGCGCCAGGCCCTCCTGGCGCGTCGACGTTGAGTTGCTGCGGGGAGAGTGTTGGTGGTGGGGCAGGGGGGGGTTGGGGCAGGATTACGGGTGTGAGTCGCGACGTAGAGTGGCCCTGCTGTGTCCATCTGGGCGACAGGATTTGATCGATAAACGATGCGCTTGCTCCCTGCTGGAAGCGCGAGCCGCGAGCCCCCAACAACCCCTGTTGACACCGAGCTGCAGATGCACTGACACAGGCGGCCCCATGCTGCCCCACCACCAACACCGCCCACCCCGGCATCCTCGCCGCCCGCACAAGGCGGGTCACGCCTTCATTCATCAACACCCACCTGGTCGCGTTCGGCCGCACAGCAAACGAGGTGGCCACGTACACGTCCCCCTGCCGCCCCAGCACAGGCACCTCCAGCTCCAGCGCGTCCGACGCCGCGTCGCCGCCGGCGCCGGTCGTTGCGGTGAAGCGCAGCGTGCCATTGCCGACCTTTCGGGGCGCGCAGGTCGATGGGGGGAAGGGGAGAGGGGGAGATCGGGCGGCTAGGGCTTAGTATCTAGGGTTGGGCTAGGATTAGTCTGAGGTGCTTGGCTGGCAGGAGATCACCTGCGGTGGGGCGTGGCGCGGCGCGGGGAGCCCTGGCTGGCAGGTGGGTATTGGATGATCCGTGGGACCATCATGATATGTGGTCGATAGCAATGAATGGATGCACGACAGACTCAAGAACGCTTGCTCAATCCCCCCACCTGTCGCGTCGTGAATTTGAATCGCAGCTCCTCCTGGCCCCCGGCCGCCACCGTCACGCTCGTGCTGTCCGACGCGGCGCCCGACTGCAGCACCACCGGCCGGCCCGCGCCCGCCTTGCCGCCTATAGATGCGACGACAGTAACCTTAGTGGCCCCAGACGCCCCCGGTGACGTCACTATGACGCCGCCCTCGAAGGTATCACCAGTGCGCACAATCCGAGGTACGGACGGCAGCAGCGAAACGCCGCGCCGCACGACGACGCGAGACTCGCCGGCACCGTAGAGCGTCGGGGCCTCCCCATCAGGCGGGGACGCGGCGTAGGCGCGCACGACAAACGTGCCGAGGTTTGGGGGCGCCGCAAACGCGACAGTCGCGTCCCCGCCGGCGCCGGTCGTCGCGACAGCAAACAGCGGCGTGACTTTGAAGTCGCTCATCAGCCGCACCTCCGCGCCCCCCGCCTGCTGCGCCGCCTCCGCGCCCCCCCGCACGGCCGACTTGGACGCGACGGCGGCGTTGTCCGCCATCGCCTCGCCGGCCGCAGCGGCGGGCGCGGGCGCCGCGAACGACGCGGCGCCGCGCGCCATCATCATTGGCATCGCCACGGGGCCGCCGAAGCCCCCGTAGATCCCGACCGGCCCGTTGATCCCCGGGAACACGGTGATCTGGGAAGTGAAGCTGGCGAGGTAGTCTGTGTCGGGCACGTCGACGGGCGAGGGGGAGGGGAGGAACGACGATGACGAGGCCCAGTCGCCCCAGGGGCGCCAGAGGGGGATGTAGCCGGAGCTTGGCTGGATCCGGGTGTAGATCGGAAGGAAGGGGTCCAGCTTCAGGCGCCGCTGCTCGGGGGTGGCAGGGAGGGAGGGGGG